GTACAGTGTGGGTTATCAGACCTCTTAATTCTTTCATGTCAAATATGTTTATTTGCCTTTTCTGTTACGTACAACCGATGATTCACATCTGCTCTTCCTTTGAAAGCTAGAATTGTGTGACAGCCAAATCAATCCAGCACTGGAAAGACAAATGGAGAACACAGAAGCAGATTTACAGAGACATTTTTGCTGTGGACTTCAAGGAATGAAGAAGTGCCAAAAGCTACAGTCGTGTCACTTGTAGCCAGAGGTGGCAAAATATAGACATTCTGTTCTAAAGCAGAAGTGCAGTTTATCATAGCGAGACTATCTCTGCACTCTGTTACATATTCCATATGTACGGGACCCCCATTGGCCGTGGCGTCATACCCCGTACATATGGAATATGTAACAGAATGCAGAGATAGTCTCTCACTCAGAGAACAAAGGTTACAATGTAACCGTACAATAGTTGCATTAACAAAATACTCCAGTAAAAGTTGAAGAGTAGTGATTAAACTTCTTTACTCAAGTACAAGAGAAAAAGAAAGTGAAAAGCCGCTCCTTGAAGGACAATTCTACTAACCATTTTTATGCATAGATAACTGGACCTGCCGCTATATTAATATAATATTAAAATGATATTAGTACATGAGAACACACATATTAGTCAAATCTAAATTCTAATGAATGCACCCAGCTTGAATCTGTTGTTTAGGACACAATAAGTAAAATAGTTTTTTCTTTTAAAGAATGTAAAGTGAGATTTGGCAAGTGGGGGAACACTAAGATCTGTTGTACTGGCTCAGCGTGGGGAAAATGCTAACACTCACAATAATTTCGAATGTAAGCTTGAGTAGATTTTCTTAGTAGACAAATTGTGATCAGCTTAGCTGCTGCTCTTTGTGGATTTAAACGACTGACTTCAACATGTGTTTCACAGCCATCTCGGTGGAGTTTCATTTCTTTTTTTCTTTTTTTTGTGTCCCGTTTGGATCTTTAGCCATCAGAATTGTTGTCTTAAGGCCAAGAAAGATGCCAAGCGGATTTATTTTACCAAGTGGATCACCATGGCCTTGCCATATTGGTCCTTTTGATTGACCTTTATTATAATTATGTATTTATTTTATTTTTGGTTGCTACAAACGGGACAGACATGACTGGGGGATAGGACAGGGAGAAAGAATGAAAGAAAGAGAGGGAGAGAAAAAAAACAGAGGGGAGAAGAGACGGTGAGAAAGGGGGGAAGAAAGAAAGAAAAACAAACAAAACAGTTTCATGGAGTTTCATTTCTTACACTAACAGTATACTGGATGTTGCCTTTATACTAGACAGTTGGATGAATTCATTCAGTGAATGAATCTAAGCATCATCAGCTTAAATGCAAATCCATCATCTACACTATATGTAACTTACACTGACAACTACAGCCACTGAGTATCAGGCTAACACAGTGTTTTACTGTAAATTCACCAGATTAATGCAAGCTAACCTGTTTATCCTGCACATAACTACCCTGAATGTTCATGAAACATTTGATGAAGACATAATTAGTGCATGGTACAGTAGTACCATTTGCTCCAGTTCTTCTTGTTCTTGTCCCCACGCTTTGTCAGATGCTGACCAAGTCTGTAGGGGCTACTTTGGGGTTTAAAGTTAAAAAACCAGGCTATGAGACCACGTGTGGAAATATCATAAACAAACATAAAGTACCTGCAAAGCTGTGTGCCATGGGTCCTTGATGTCATACTGTTTTGTATGTTTTGTTTTTCAGGACATTTCACAGTATAACAAATAAATATTTTATCAAAATACATGATATACTGATAAAATATGTGATTCAAAATGATAAAATCACAGATAACCTTTGAATATTATTTTTGTGTGCAGTTTGTTACAGAATGTGTCGCTAGCCAAAGCTCCAGCTGACGTGTTTTTTTTCCGAGGAGATAAAAGAAAGAGAGTTAACTTCACTCAGAGATGGAGAAAGATGTAAGAAAAGAAAGGACAGGAGAGGAAGAAGAGAGGTTATGTTTAAGGGTAAGAACTGCTCAGTGAAACATGATAAATTCCAGTCTGTGTTTTTGGTGATGTTTGTTGAGCTGATAGAAATGTTGTAGAAAAATTATGTTGTGTAGAAATGTTACACTCTTTGTGCTCATTTCTCTTTAGCGCTAGCTAGATCCTGACTACAATATCACTGGTGCCGCCCACTTTTATACTTTTATACTTTAATAAAAGTATAATCGCTATAAATGATACAGTTGAACCTAAAGTAATGAGCCTGTTTTGAAGACGTAAGGAGTAGGTAGTATAGATATTTGTGTTAAAATGTAGGGAGTAAAAGTAAAAAGAATTTTAAAAAAATGAAAAAAATTAATACTCAAATGAAGTACAGATACCTGAAAATTCTACT